TCCCCAGCCGTGCTTTGGATACATCTAGGTATGCAGCAAGTCTTTTGTAGGACTGAGGTCTTTTCTTATAATGAACTGTAATTAGGTTTGGAGACAGTTTTGTTTAAAATGCAACAAATAAAATTTATCAGTTCATGGGGGTTTGATTTATTTCTGGAATCAATTCTAATTTATGGGACAATATATTCTGCTTTAAATCCAAATCAAACTAAACGTTTTCACAAAGTTACAGAATATGAAACTGCCTGCTCAATGGCATTAACTTAATAACTGTAGTCTGAGGAAATGAGATTATATGCTCCATTAGACAGCATTACATGTCAAATAATCATAGTATTAGCAAGATTTACATACTAACATTAAAAAAATATGTATAGACTATAGATATATTTCTAACTCATCTACCCTTTTGAGCTTGAAGAGCACTGAATTCCAGTGATCAGCCCATCAAACAGCCTATCTCATATGGACTCTTGTTCACAGTTGCTGTTAAAAGTTAGACTGTAGAAGACACAAGAGTTCACCTCGTCCTGAACATGACACTGCCGCATCTGCTGTACATACTGCTCTGCCAGATTTTTTGCACCTGTGCAGCTACACTGTAGAGAAACACGACTCATAATATTAAATACACAACATCCATCTCTTTAAGATTAGTTAGCAGACATCCATTGTACCAGTTTATCAGAATAAGTCTACTACAGTATTTAAGAGTGTGACAGAATATCAAAATTTTGAGTTGAGTGGATATACTCCATGCTACTTGGGCACATAAGGGCTGGTACTGGCCCAAAGTGCTCTTGCACAACACGGGAATGCAAGCTTACAGCCTTCAGTAAGTCTCTGCATATTTCAGAGAGACTATTCAAAAAATCTGACATCTTTCAAGGAAATACCTTAGGAAAAAACTGAAAAATTAAATGGTTTGGGAAGTAAAGTAGTAGGCATGAGCTTTCTGATTCGGTGTAAAATGTCTTAAATTCAGTTTTGAAAATTAGTATGAAAAACTCTATTTAGTAGAATATGCACCAATTTCCAGAATTCAACTGAAGTAAAAAAATCATTGTTTTGTTAGAAAAATAAAATGCTTACCAGGGAACAGATACAGTTATTAGTCTAATACATCCAAATTGTCTTAAATTAAAAAAATTCAGACAAAATATAAATCATTGTTCTTTCTGCTTCCTAACTATAGAGGTCAAATTCTGGCCTCGGTTATTCAATACGACCTTTGCCAATTACCTTAATTTGCCGGAATTTCACTCAAAGTCTCCTGGAAAATACATTATTCTATACTCTAAAGGCATTTTAAGTGGTCACCTTATTTCATCTTGACATTTGATGCCTAATACACATTTAGGAAGACTTTTCAAAATGACTTAAAAGCACAGGTCCCACTAAAAAAATCTGGTCTTGAAATTCATAGCAATCAGTCAAATGTATCACACACACCACTTGAAAACAATCTCATGCCTTGATTTTTAGAATAGATGCTAAAACCAAGGACTGACCAGATGTTGCATGATCGGATTTGAAATGTATACTCTAGTACTGGGTACACTCCCCCTATTTCCTCAAATTATAATATTCTAGTATGCTAACATGGAAAACTTTATCCAAGTTTCTTTTAGCTTTATTCAAGTGTATATTTACTCTTATCAG